GGTCCGTGCCACCCACTTAGGAGACACAGATTGATTTCCAGTTCCTTGCTTTAGCCTGGCCCAGTCCCAGTTGTAACAGGCATTTATGGAGTGAATCAATAGATGAAAATATGTCTCTCTCTCTCTCTTTCATTGCCATTAAAAATAATAAAATTAAAAATAATTTAAAATATGAGATAGGCATACTTAGATTAATGGTTGACATATATCAGGTACTGGCTAAATGTAAGTAAAGTATATAAATAAATCTTAACATAAATATAGGAAGGATAATCTCAGTTTTTATAATTCTGTCTCCATTTTACTGTTTTTCAAGGTATTCCCATTTTTTCTTTCCTTTGTGAAGTACACATCACACCAAAGTACAATTTAAGCTTTTTATGTTTCTGAAATTTTTCAGATGCACTGAAAATACAGATAAAAGGCAACAAAGCAATGAATAAAATATGTCATGGAATCAGACACACATTTCATAGCTTCCAGATATCTCCTCCATTGTCATTGGTTATATTGGACTGTATTGATGTTTATCTGGTTCATCATATTATTTTAATCTCAAAAATAATGCTGGAAATTAGGAATGTTAATTTTTTACATCGTTCTTACAGAAAAATTGGCTTTACAGGATTAAGTGAACTACTCGAAGATACATATTGGTGGTAAAAGGAGGATTGATTTCCAAATCCCATACACAAATACATCACATTGTCATTTCAAAACATGCTTCCCTGTAGTAAACATAATGGGATTTTTAAAAAAAAATTATTATTTTATTTATTTGAAAGAGAGTTACAGAGAGAGGTAGAGCCAGAAAGAGAGGTAGGTCTTCCATCTGCTGGTTCACTCCCCAGATGGCCGCAATGGCTGGAGCTGCACCGATCTGAAGCCAGGAGCCAGGAGCTTCTTTCAAGTCTCCCACGCGGGTGCAGGGGTCCTTGTCTGCTGTCCCAGACCATAGCATAGAGCTGGATTGGAAGAGGAGCAGCCGGGACTAGAACTGGTACCCATATGGGATGCCAGCACTTCAGGCCAGGGTGTTAACCTGCTGAGCCACAGCACCAGCCCCTATAATGGGATATTTTTGAGTTTCTATTCATTGATGTTACAAAATGGTTTTATAACCATTCCTAACCATGCTATTTTGAATGTCCATTTTTCCACTAAGTAAACAGAGATGTTTAATGGTAACTCATCTCAATCCTGTGATTATTTTCATCATGTGTTGGCTATCATTAGTCTATTTCTTAGGATAATCAGTATTGCTCATTTTGAGAATATAATACTGTACTTCGTTTTAATGCTTTTATCTTCCCCGCTTAATTCTAGCTTTGTGGAAATAACCCTTTCTGGTGTCTTACTAGATTAAATTGAGAGGGAAAAATGGCATCTTCATATTTGAATGACATATTTTCTCTTGAAGATTAATTTATAGCTTTTCTGGTCATACCTGCTTCCTTTACGTATTAGGTGGTTAATTGTTGCCCTTTTATGGAGGTAATATGTATGTAATACATAGTAAAAATATTAGCTATGGGAGAGCTGCCACATAGCTCTTTATTATTTAAAAAAACTATAAATGTATGTCTTTTACCCAAAATAGCAATAACAACAACTGCAGCAGAAGAAGAATAGAGGTCTGTAGTGCAATCGGTACCCATGGATTTCGAGAGAATTGGAGAAAAGTTTTTTTTTTTTTTTGATTGAATGAAAATGACAAATTGACTTACATTCATGTCTTATGAAAGTAAAAGACCTCAATGAAATTTTACATTGATAGAGTGCCTCAGGGTGTCAACTTCCAATAGTAAAGTATAGGGTCAGGAATTGATCCTTGGAGAAGCCAATCTTCAAAGTTCCATAAAGGTCAAAGAAGTTCACCCAAGGTTATTTCTTAATGGCTACTCTGGATCATTGTTTAGTCAATTTGATTGATTGTGCCATTTGGGGCATCTAAAAAAAACTGCCAAAAAGCAATCAATATGTTGGCCATTTCTTGTGCAATCTGGAAAAAGGAACTTTCCTGTTTTTATGTTGTACTTCGTGTAAAATTTTGCTTTGCAGCAGGAAAGACTTCAGATTTATAGTAATCATCTAGACATAATTTAAATTTTAGCATACACACATACACATAGCTTGCTATTTGCATTTCTAGATGCCTGTTTTTGTGTATCTTCCTATTTCTTTGGTCTATTAATTTGATATTTGCAGTGATGGACAGATGAAGCATATTACTGTGTAATAGTCCTTGAACTACGACATTCATGGTAATGACAACAACACAACAGTGTTATAGATGCTTTTAACTTATTTGGGGATGATATCCCTATAAGTCCATCCTAATTTGAAAATATTTTAAGTAAAAAAATGAATTCAATACATCTGACCTAATGATTATCACAGCTCAGCATAGTACACTTTAGAATTGGTTGTTTATCCTCTGAGTTCAGCATTGTGAAAGAGTATTTGCTAAATATTGAGAATTTGGGAAAGATAAAATTTCAAACTTCAAATTGTGTTTTTTACTGAGTGTGCATCATTTGTACACTGTTGTAAAGTAGAACCTCTGTTAAATTGAGGATCATCTGTAATTTACAATGGTGACTAAATAACTAAAACCTATTGAATACATTCTCATTCTCATTAGTTCTTACCTGCATATCACTGAAATCCAAACCCAAATTTTTCCTTTAGCATTATTAAGGATGAATTCAATCTTTTTGAAACTGGGTTTAGAAAAATTTGGAGACAGTTTTAATAGTTCTTATAAAATATAAATTGCTGAGTTAAATCAGGCCCATATCTATCTATCTGATCAGACATATCAGACTTATCATTTTAGACATATCCTATCACAAGTATACCTATGTAAGAGATATCCTAACAGATATCTTCATCTGTTTGCCCCATTTGATAGTCAATTTTAATATATATAAGTCAGTTAGTCAGAAAATCATCCAAAAATTTGTAAAGCATTGTCTTCCATAAACAATGAACTAATCCCTTCTAAGCTACCATGCAAATATTTTTTAATCTGCTGAATATCTATATCTCTATTGATTTCATTTAGCAATTCATTGCCTTCATCTTACCTCCTTTCCAGCCATATATTACATCAGATACATAGTCCCATATGCACTTGCCTTTTTTTTTTTGGACATTCATGTCTTTTGTTTTGAATGTCAGTCTTCCTCATCTTTCAATATTTAACCAAAGTGGCATTTTCTAAGACTGTCTTCAGACACACTCTTTCCTACCTGTGACAGAATGAGGCATTTTGTTCTTTCACTGCTTGTGACATCATGTATATTACCCTACTGAAAATTTCATATTATGTGTAACTTTCAGTTCTTACATTTTCTAATGAAACTTTCTGTTCCTGTTTATTTGACACTTAGTAGACTTTCAGTAAATGTTTATTGGACAAAAAGAATAGATTAACGTATACAAAAGTGTTGGGATTATATAATTTGAAACCAATACAAAATAATTGTCCTGACATTTTTAGTATCAACAGAACCAGATTCAACAGACCTCTGTGAGTATGTAGCAAATATATTTTTGAAATCTGCTATTTTAATTTAATGAAGACTTTGACTAAATCAGAAAGAGTACTACAAAGCTTGATCAAAATACTTAGTATGCTAACAATTGATTCTTTTTTTCTCCCAAGATTTATTTATTTATTTGAAAGGCAGAATTACAAACAGAGAGAGAGACAGAGAGAGAGAGGGAGAATCTCCCATGTGCTGGTTCACTAGGCAAATGGCCACAATGGCTGGGGCAGGGTTAAGCTGAAGCCAGGGGACAAGAATTTCTTCTGGGTCTCCCACTGGGTTGCAGGGTCCAGAGCACATGGGCCATCTTCCTTTGCTGTCCTAGCACATTAGCTGGGTGGGAAGTGGAGCAACTGGGACTTGAGCTGACACCATATGGGATTCTGGCATTGCTTAACATGCTATACCACAATGTTAGCCCTGACAATTGAATTCGTATGAGGGAAAATATAAGCACTTGATATAGGTCACTTCAGAAAAGAGAAGGGGGCCGTCTCTGTGGCGTAGCAGGTGAGGCCGCCATCTACAGTGCTGGCATCCTATATGGGCGCCGGTTTGAGTCCCCACTGCTCCACTTCTGATCCAGCTCTCTGCTATGGCCTGGGAAAGCAGTGGAGGATGGCCCAAGTCCTTGGGCTCCTGCACCCGCGTGGGAGACCTGGAAGAAGCTCCTGGCTGCTAGCTTCGGATTGGCACAGCTCTGGCCATTGCAGCCAATTGGAAAGTGAACCAAGAGATGGAAGATCTCTCTCTCTCTCTCTCTCTCTCTCTCTCTCTGCCTCTCCTTCTCTCTGTGTAACTCTGACTTTCAAATAAGTAAATAAATCTTAAAAAAATGAAAAAGAAAAGAGGAAGATGCCAACTCACTGCAAATATTTGAAGAGATTTGTCAGTGTAATGATCAACTTGTTTTTCTTTCTTAACATCCATCTCCAGAAGGGACAGAATAAGAAAATAGCTTAAGTTATAGAAAAAAAATTTGAATTAGCATTCTAAAAAAACATTATCTATATGTAGAGACCAAGAATATGAGACTTCATTTGTGCTTAATGCTAAAATAAGGCAAAAAAATGTAGAAGTAATAAATATTTCCAGAGAGATTAAAGATGTTTTCTGACTTAAAGAATAAGCTTAAGACAAAAGATATGAATTAAAGGATATGTTAATGTATACTGTGTTCCTTTTCAGTCATATGTAAGAAGATTATTTTGTGCATATGACCAATCAATAAATGAGAATATTATGCTCATATTAAAGGTACTAGTTTCACTTTAATTACCTATTCATGTAATAGATAGCCATTAACTCCACATATTGTGAATGCATAGCAAGGTCTGTTAAAAATAATGAAAAATCTTAGGAACTCAAGTAAAACATAATACTTTTAAATTAAGTTTTTAATGTTTAAACAAGTGTTTCATGCATTGTAAAATAAAATGCAAAAAAAACCCCAGAAAAATAAATTATGTTTATTTCTAATTGCTATTCAATCCTCTGCCCCCAAAAGTGTACCTGTAGGAATAAGTGCAATTTCTTTATGGTAGCATGAGAGAACCTTATATTCTTGTATCTGCCCAATTTGCCAACTAACACTAGTTTAATCTGTAGTCTCTCTATAGGTGTACACACAATACCTTCCTTAACACACACACACACACACACACACACACTGTGCATCTTGCATTGTTTTTGCTTCAAAAAATATCTCAGAGATAATTATGTATTAGTACATATACTTATGAATAACCTTTTAAATGACTTCATGTTTTACATTTTATAATTATCCAATAATTTATATTACCAAACATTTATTACAGTCTGATTTTTCCCAGACAATACCATAAAGGAGAGAAGCCTCTCTGTTTGCCTTGCTGTAATCTGATGAACCGATTGACATGTGAGTAAAGGCTTCTTGATCAGTACATGTATCCAGTTCAGAATATTTATTTTCCAGGAAGAGCCACCAGGAGATTATAGAAAATTTCTTCTTCAGTGATTATATTTTGGGAAGACATTAGACTGTCCTCAAATAATGGAAGTCTTTGAGAATGTTTTTATCTAAATTCTGCCATTTGCTGAGAAGTATTCAGAAACTTTTGTGATAGGATCTTTGAGTGAGATTCAACAAGTAAAGATGTGACAGGATATTAAAAGGATGATGACTATACTCAGGACCTGCTGGATAGACAGAACCTTGTAGGAGCCTGTAATGTCATGGGAACAGACAGAAAGTGACAATGTTGACTTGTCTCTCCCCTATAAGTGTTAGTACCAGAGAGCCCCAGAGGAACAGTTTGACAAATGACACCACCTTGCAAGGCTCAGTAGAAGGCTGACACATGATTGTTGTCCAGTGTCTCTCCAATGAAACAACTGCGAACAACTCGAGACTCTCCAATCCCCGTTCTCAGTATTTTGTTCACTCTCCTTCCTTTTCTTGTTTTGTAAACTCTGCCATTACATTATTTCTGATGAAACTAAGCCATAGATGGAAAGTTTACTACTTTATGGTAGTCATAGAGGTATTGCTTAAGATCAGTACAGAAAGTGGGCATGGTTGAGGCATCTGAGAAGAGGCCAGGGTGAGTGCTAATTTCCCTCTTATTTGGTCTTCTAGAAACTGTCTGGTATGAGGGTTTTCCTCTTTTCCTTTCTGGATCTGATCTCTAAATCTTTTTATACTCTGCAATCTTTTAGACTCAGTCATATGGTCACATCAATTATTTAGTCCATTTCTGCTGTGGGAAGGATATATTTAGTAGGAAAGGCAGTGAAGGTGAAGAAACTCATTGTTTATAGATATCTATAGTCCTTGTTGTTGGAAGTGAAGAGATGTAAATAAATCAATTCTGAAAACATTGAGTTTCATAGAAAGCACCTAGAAACATAAAGAAGTTTCACTAAGAGACAGCTGATCTAAATTTTCTTGCCTGTATCAGGAGGGAAACAGCCTAGCAAACAATAAGGTCCAATTGGAGGGCACTGGAAGGCATCTCAACCTTGCTGATAGTGACAATTTATGTTCCTCATGTCCACATCCCATGCACGGCATATATGGTGTTCCTGCAGAACTTGACAAACAACAATGAACAGATGTTAAATGGAGTAAAACCACTTTTTGAATTGAAAACATCTATCATTAGGCAGTGGTTGCTTTCAGGGTGTTTAGAATTTACTCTTCAAAGAAAGATGAAAAATAATGTGCGTGGAGAAAGAGAGACTCTCACTAGGTAAATCATTCACTAATGACTGTAAATAGAAGTTAGGCAGGGTTTTAGGCCAACTGTTTAGGCTCTGAACATTTATTAAAGTCAAGAATACCAAGCCAACATATCTGCTTTCACAGAGGGAAACTGGCAACTACTTTTACCTAACTGGTGCTCTGAAAAGTAACAAAGAGAATATAATATTCAATGATGACATTTGTAGAATTCTGCATTCTAGTGATTAGGAATGAGATAATCAAAATTATTTCAATAAGAATTGGAGCGCTTGCCCCTGTTTTGCTGGGCTTTGTAATTAGAAGGTTTGGTAGGAGTTTGGGGGTTTTGGATATGGGTAGAGAGTGCATCAACAGCGTGAGATCTAGAACAGGAGCTCTAGGCATGCACCAGAGATAAAATACAGCCAGTGCCCACAGCAGACTCAAGTATATACAAATCCAATCTTTGGGTCAGAGTAAAGGAACTAGAGTGTGAAAAGACAAGTAGGAAGTGGATGTGACATGAGTGGAAGCCAGTGGCTTAGGCTCTAGGTCTTTACTGAGGAAGTAAAAGATGAAGCAAGTTTCTGTACCAAGTCAACAATTGGAGCACTGGAGAGGAGAGGGATCTGTATTCCAAATCCCTGAAACATATACATTATTTTGAAGAATATGGAGACTTCAATGGAGATATAATTAATAGAGAGACAGAAGACATTGTAGGGAGAAAGGATCTGCACAGTCCTTGGTAGAAAGGCAGTCACCCCAGTGGGATTCTGCCAGGTTTGGGCGATAGGACATAGCTTTGGGTACTTGGCAGAGGGGGACTTGCTGGAAGAAAATTGACCTAAGTGTTTCTTCCCTGGGTGCTGCTTCTGTTGGTTTGAGGCAAAGAGACAAAGACTATCAAGAAAAAGTTACACATCAGACAGTATGCATGGATGTTGGTTTGTAACAAGTCTGATCAGTATACATGGTAAGTATTCTCTGAAACTGAAGAGAGGCCCTTGGTTCACACTGTATCTGTTTTGACCTTCCTTCCTCTTTAAGGTTCAGATTTTTCAGGGTCTTTATTTTTTGTTTTCTCTCTTATCTCCTCTAATTTTCTTCCTTTAATATGTTTAACATTTATTCCACTGAATACACATTTAATATGAAATTTTATGTATTGGTCACTACTGGGATAGGTCCTTTTTGGTAGAGAAGTGAAAATAGAACTGGAATTTGGAGTATGGAATGTGGCTTCTGAGACAGTTCCTCAGTTGTCTGGGGTAACGAGGCTTTGTATAACTATTTCTCCAATACTAGTGCATTTGCACAGTGAAGTATTTGTCTACTCTATCATTCTGCTTATGCCAGATAGTTTTTCAAAGAGACTGAAGGCAGCTGACAATGATGAATTGAAATGGTTACTTAAAATTGAATTCTAAGGTCTGTTGGAAGGAAAATACATTTATGAATCTTTTCTGAATTTAAGAAAGACCAAAGCTTTCAGAAATTTTTGAAACTGGCTGGAGGACAATATCTTAAAATGTATCCTGAAGTCAGGAAGGAATACTTTTGGGAAATCTTAGTTCAGGGCCTGAGACCAGTAATGATGTTGAGGACACTTTAGTGACAAAGGAACATGAGTAAGAACTCTGAGGAATATAATGAATCCAATCTATAAAAACTGTCTGTGGTCTCTTCTGAGTCAATGGTTAACGTGTCTGGATGATATTGAGATAGGGAAAACTGTCTGTGGTCTATTCTGAGTCAATGGTTAATGTGTCTGAATGATATTGTGATAGGGAGAAGAGTTTTGAAGTGAATAAAGAAGTCTTTACATGGAAATAAAGCTATTGGAAAATAGATCAGAGAATAAAACTGGGATATTTGATATAGATAAAGAGGATCCTTTGCCACAGCCTCAACTTTCATTAACACTATTGTATGAAAGCCTGTTGCAGCTTGCCTACCCTTATACTTAGCCCTTTTTGCACTTCATAACATAAAGGTACACTCTCTCACCTATCCCAAATCTTACAATATTGCATTGCCTGGAGTGTAAAATCCTTTTGGTGACAAGGGAATAATGTTTAAGCAGTAGCCCTCATTTGGGGGAAGCTTTCTTTTATGACTTCTCAAGCCCCTCCTAACCATAGAGCTTCATTGATTGTGCCTGTGTATGTATTCTTCTTTAAAGTGAGGTTTATTCCTTATCAGAATGCACATAAGTCTTTCAAACTACCTTAATGAGGTATAATAGACATAGAAAATGTCTATATATTTACTGTATAACAATTTGGTGTACTTAAACATAAGCATGTACTCATGAAAACATCATCACAAAAGATTTAAATTCATTTTGCATAAATTTATCTAACAATGCCAAAAGCTTTCCCTTTCCCCATTCCCCCACTTTTGTAGTGAGATTGCTTAAAGGGCTACCTTCTAAACTCTGTGCTAAAGTGTATACTCAAGTAGTGTTAATTATATGCCCAGTGTTGTAAATTAGATCTACAGAATTTATTTATCTTGCATGATTGATTACCCTTTGACCAATGTTTTACATTTCTTCCTCCCTCCAACAATCACCATTTTAATTTCTGTACCTGTAAGTTTGACATTTTAGGTTATAGATGCAGAAGAGATTATGCAGTATTTGTCTTTCTGTATCTGACTTATTTCCCTTAGGATAAAAACCTCCAGGTTTACCGATGAAGATGCCAAATCATATGAAAGTCTAAATCTCAATATTAAAGGTAAATATAAGGACAAGCATATGATACTAAAGTGGGGTGATGGTGATACACAAATCACTTTTGACATTAAAATGTAAATTAAAATATAAAAGCAGTAATAATACTGTAACTACAACAATTTGTAAATGGAAACAGCATAAATAAGCAAATCTAGTATCAATCACATAAATTGTGAGGATACAAATAAAGTGTCCTCTCTGTGATAAAAGTTAAGTCATTAGCTTAAAATAGTATTATAACTATGAAATATTTGATATGAGCTACATTGCAACCCAACAAATATACATAGAAAATATCATCGGGCATTGGTATGTGGCTTAGTGTTACTTTATGATGTGAAACATTTTGCTTCTTGTGTACTGTGTCATGAATAAACTGAATTTCTACTTTAAAAACAATGAAAGATGCCTGTGTCCTTAATTGGTGGCTGTACTTATAGCAAAAAAATCAGCTTTTTCACTAAAAGCTCTACTGAATACTTAACAATAGAAACTATAGAATCTAATGAATCTTTGATTTTGTTTTCTTTTAATCAGTAATTCCTAATGGATTAGAGGTAATTTTTCTCCTCAGGAATATTTGGAAGTATCTGGGTAACTTTATATTTTCACAAATGTGTGTGTGTGTGTGTGTGTGTATGTGTGTTTGTGTCATGTTGAGTAGGTGTGGGTGCTATGGTCATCTAATGGGTAGAGGAGATCAGTTGTGTTAGTAAAATGTCATGGTCTTGTCAGTGGCATGATTTACATCCTGGACACCATCCTAGGCTCTAGCCCCTACTGCCATCGCTGGAAGCCAGGTGACCAGATGGCCCAACCACAGGTGTCAGCTCCATTCCCACCCTAATGAGATTTGCTGTTCCTGCATAGTAATAGAACCTGCTTCCTGCACACATGTTCTTTCACCAGCTCTCTCTCTCTCTCTTCCTTCTTCACCCTCTCTCTCTATTGATCTTTGTCTTAACCCCCTCCCCCTTCTCTGCTCCTTCCTTCCGGCCTGTCAGATTTCCCACCAGTAAACCCTTTCCCTTAACTCCAGTGTTTGGTGTGTTTTGTGGTAGCCTTACAAATGATATTGCAAAGCACACTAGAATGCATAGCCCACTCATCTCCCCCTCAAATGTTAACAACACAGTTGAGAAACCTTGTTTTAAATATAAATGAAAATTTTCTGGAATACTACATTTTAAAAAATGTAATAGAAAAGTCCTCAGGTATATAACTTCATCTAGTGTAATTCCAGTAAGTCATCACTCATTTTATTGTATTAAAATTATAGGAAGCCATTTTGTTGAACTAAGCTCCTGCACAAACCCCAACAGACCAGACCAAAAGTCCAAATGAGTCACTAATAAAAAAATTCAAACTGAAGCTAAGTTTTGGGAAAATCAGGAAAGAAAGAGATAAGGGCCAAAATTCTCAAGCTGACCAGTTTCAATTAGCATGAAAATAATGTTCCCTGGGCTTTAATCTTTCCATCCTTTAATCCTCACAAGAAGTAAGTTAAAGTAACCTGATGTTAGTCGGTTGTTATCTTTTATTGCTCTGTCTCCCTGTACTCTTCTTACAAATGAAAACATAGTAATGTATGAATTAATGATGGGGACATGGGGACACATTCTAAGAAACACATTTTTAGGTGACTTTATTATTATGTGAACAACATAGATTATACTTATATTAACTTAGATGGTATAGTTTACTACACACCTAGGCTAAATGATACAACTTGTTGCTCCTAAGGTCATGTTGAATGAAAATATCGTGAGATTAAATTAAGAAAAAATATGGTAAATATAAAATCTATGATACTGCTCCCAGTATCATATGGCACATTGTTTTATAGAATGCTTTTAAGAATAATCAGAAGTGTACTCAACATGATGATTAAAAAGTATAGTAAAGACAAATACCACTAGCATAGTTATTATTATCATTAGCAAATTCTGTATATTATGTACATAATTGTATATGCTACACTTTCATAAAACAAGCAGCACAGCAGGTTTCTTTACATCACTAATCACCATGAAATGTGAGTAGAATGTTGCACTGTGACATTGTGATGGGTACCAAGTCACTAGGTGATTGGCATTTTTCAACTCCATTATAATCATAGGCAACCACAGTTGTATATGCATCCTGTCATTTGTGGAAATGTTATACAGAGCATGACTGTACCTGTGAGATGACCAATCCACTTTGTACTTTCTTCCTGCCTTTCTTTAGCCTTTGTCTCTAAAATCAATCACTCCTGCATGGCCCATCAGAACACTTATCATAGTTTTTGGAATGAAGTGTTGCCTGAATCTAGAATAAAAAATGAAGCCAATTAAGATGTTTCAACTAAATTGCTGTAATTTTGTCTCTTGACAATTGCAGGTTATAAAGTGTTTAATGTGGGGCCAGCATTGTGGCACAATGGTTTAAGGCACCATTGCATGCTGGCATCCCATACTGGAGTGCAATTTGAGTCCTGGTTACTCTGCTTCCAGGCCAGCTACCTGCTAAATGTGCCTGGGGAAGCAATGGAAAATGGCTCAAGTACTTTGGTCCCTGACATCTGGCTCAGACCAGGCTGTTGTGGCCATTTTGGGGAGTGAATCAGCTGATAGAAGCTCTCTTTTTCTGTTTCTCCCTCTCTGCTACTCTGCTTATACATACACACATGCATAAATAAATAAATAATAATTTTTAAAAAAATAAAATTTAAAAAATAAATAATGAATAAATAAAATTTAAAAAATAAATTAATGAATCTTCTATTTCAGAACATACTTATTTACATTTAGGATAGAAAAAATATAGATATTAACTTAAGGTCACAAGGAGAATACCATTAACTTAAAGCCATAAGTTAATTTAAGGCCATAAGTTGGAATTTACTTTGTCTGAAATAATTATTTTTCTTCAAAGAGCTCATTCTCTCATCTTCATCAGCCATTTATTCAAATATTTCCTTTTAAATAAGGTCTTTTGCAAAATACTACTTAAACTTATAATTATCACCCACCCTTTCATTTCTATCACTATTCCTTGCTTTAGTTTTCTATATATTTACCACCATCTAATGCATATTTTACTTACTTTTTTATTAATAAGTTCCCTCCTACTACTAGCATTAGCTTCCTTGGGATGGGGATAGTCATCTGTTTTGTACAAAGCTGTGTTTCTTACAACTGAAAAAAATACTTAGAAAATGTACTCAATAATATATATATATTTTTTTTGTGACAGGCAGAGTGGACAGTGAGAGAGAGAGACAGAGAGAAAGGTCTTCCTTTGCCGTTGATTCACCCTCCAATGGCCGCCGCTGCTGGTGCGCTGCGGCCAGCACACCGCGCTGATCCGAAGGCAGGAGCCAGGTGTTTCTCCTGGTCTCCCATGGGGGTCAGGGCCCAAGCACTTGGGCCATCCTCCACTGCACTCCTGGGCCACAGCAGAGAGCTGGCCTGGAAGAGGAGCAACCAGGACAGAATCTGGTGCCCATACCGGGACTAGAACCCAGTGTGCCAGTGCGGCAAGGCAGAGGATTAGCCTATTGAGCCACGGCGCCGGCCTAATAATATTTTTAAAATAAAGAGAATACTACATTTTGATTGAAAGAAACCTTTGAGAAGGATTCCAGAGAATCCAGTTAGGGAGTAGATAACACAGTAAGTAGAAAATAGACATAGGATGGATATAGTGAAAGTCTATAGACCAGCTCTCTCAGGTACCCAGGGAGTATAGCTAAGGTTGGATGCCGTGGGGAAACACTCAGAATTCTAGACTATCCAGTGAACCTGGTAATGTCTAACGAGTAATTAATAATGTAGTACAGATGAACATGCCTACTAGGAAGGACAGACTTTGGAATGAAGAGAGATATTATAGAAGGGAGCTCTAGAGAGAAGTACTGACATGGCTTGAGAAGGCAGTAAAAATTAAAATATATCCAAAAGTGTCAGCATTTATGTAGTACGGTGAACAGGAAATACAAAGCTTACAGCCTGGTAAATTTGAATGTAACAACCTAGTACAGATATTAATGTGCTTATTGATTAAAAGACTCTTATGGAAAGAGGTAGCTCTGTGATAGTGTTCTAGGACTGATTGAGAAAGGGGAAATTGCAGGACATGCCAAGTGATGAGTACAGGCCATTAGTGATGGAGTAAATGCTTTTCAAATAAGGAGATACCACTGTGTGATGACCCAGTCAGAATGATTTGTGCAGTCCATTATCAATAGAAGATACCATTTGCATACAGGTTCTTGCTGTGAAGTTTTCTCACAACCAAACTGGTTAAGGCAGATTTATCTCTTGTGGAACCACTAATGTGACTGGAAACACTAAGTCACTTTTCCTGGGAGAGTATCATCGTTTGATTGATTGTTTGATGGAGCCATTCAGTGGTCACTAATTGGTAACCTACTCCATGCTTATTAGTTGTGCGACATGCTTAAGAGTCCTGATTTTGAAGTTAGAAACAGCTGGATCTAAAGCATAGCTCTTACACTTAACAATTGAATTATTTCTGTACCTCAGTTTCAACACATACGTGAATTGGAATGAATCATAGCTTTCATATAGTGTTGCAGGATTTAAGGGGGACATTGTATACAACTTAGGTTATGCTTTACGAACACAGTGAGCTCAGTAAATGTATACATAATTCTTATGCTTTACTAAGATAATAGCAATACTGTGGAGAACCCTAAAGACCACCCCATATGTGAGCCACAGATAAAGTTTAAAAATATTTCCAGGAACTTAAATGTCCTCTCTGAAAGTTAATCCTAAATCTTGAAGTTGGATGTGAAATATTAAAACATTACATCACATCATAGAACACATTTGTTCAGTAAAGGTGGATATCATATTTTTGAAGTCTGTGTAATAAGACGACTCTTCACATGGTAAGTTATGTAACTATGTTGGATAATGTGAGCTGAGACCCTTCTCAGAGCTCATTCACGAACAAAGCTGCAAGTTAATAACAATAGTAAGACTCAGAATCAGGAAACAAAATCAATATTGCTCCTGTGCCAAGTGGCCCTTTCTTCCTGAGGATGTATAGTTCCCATTTCTCTCTCTCTCTCCCTCCCTCTCTCCCTCTCTCTCTCTCTATCTCCCTCTCTCTCTTCCCACCCATGTCATTTAACTTTTGTTTCTTTTTCTTTCTTATAAGCTTTTTCTTTGAAAGTTGGTAGTTGTGTCTTAAGTACTTTTTATACCAATAGTCTAGAGGTACATTCCAACAAATCTCAATTGGAGAGAATGTGCTCAGGAATTGGAAGTCAGAGAGACTGAATGTTCATATTTGAGCATCTGACTATGCAAAGGAGGAACTGTTAGAAATCCACTATTTCTGGGGCTGGCATTGTGGTGTAGCAGGTTAAGCCACCACTTGCAACACCAGCACCCCATTTGGTCCCTGGTACAAGTCCCGGCTGCTCCACTTCTGATCCTGCTCCCTGCTAATGCACCTGGAAAAGCAGTGGAAGACGGCTCAAATCTTTGGGCCTCAGCTATCCTTGTGGGAGATGCAAATGAAGCTCCTGACTCCTGGCTTCAGCCTGGCCCAGCCCAGGACATTTTGGCCATTTGGGAAGGGAAGCAGCAGATGGAAAATCAACCTCCCTCTCTGTACATCTGCCTTACAAAGAAATAAAAATAATTTTTTAAAAAACCGGGAGTCTACTATTTCTGATACTGAAAGTCTATGGTTAGCATTTAGCCCCATTGTTTCTTTTCTTTCTCTTCTGAATCTCATACTATTTTGCACTTTACTTTGCTGGTCATGTGTTTGGCACAGGTTGTGGGATGGTTTGAGGAGGAAAGTGCCTGAAATTGGAAAGAAGACAAGTATGTGGCAGCTAGGGAATTCTCAGAGGTTCATTTCCAACGTCTGGTTGCCTCATAGTATTTTCTTCAGAAACCTTTTATTTAAGGTATACAAACTTGATGAATTTCAGAAATACAACTTTAGGAACATGGTGATTCTTCCCACCCTACCTTCCCTCCCACTCACACTTCCACCCTTCTTCCTCCACCCTCTGCTATTCCCATTCTTATTTTTCACTATTATCTATTTTCAATTAACTTTACACATATAAGATCAACTCTATACTAAGTAAAGAGTTCAACAAATAGTATGAAAAAAAGAAAACTTCCTCAACAGTCGAGACAAGTGCTGTTCAAAGTCATCACATCTCAAAGTGTCAATTTCATTTCTGTAGATTACCTTTTAGGTACTCTATTAGTTACCACAGATCAGGGAGAATATATGGTATTTGTCTTTTTGGGACTGGTTTATTTCATTAAGTATAATGTTTTCCAGTTGCATCAATTTTGTTGCAAATGACAGGATTTCATTTTTCTTTTAACAACTGTATAGCATTCCATGATGCACATATCCCCTAATTTCTTTATCCAGTCTTCAGTTGGTGGCCATTTAAGTTGATTCCATATCTTAGCTATTGTCAGTTGAGCTGCAATAAACATAAGGGTACAGATAACTCTTTCACATGCTAATTTCATTTCCCTTGGGTTAAATTCCCAGGAGTGGGATGACTGGGTCATAAGGTAGATTTATATTCAGATTTCTGAGGTATCTCCATAGTGTCTTCCACAGTGACTGTACCAGTTTACATTCCCACCAACAGTGGATTGGGGTACCTTTTTCCCCACATCCTTGCCAGCATTTGTTGTTTATTGATTTCTGTATGAAAGCCATTCTAACTTGGGTCAGGTGAAACCTCATTGTGGTTTTGATTTGCATTTCCCTGACGGTTAGTGTTCCTGAACATTTTTTCATGTTTCCATTGGCCATTTGGATTTCCTCTTTTAAAAAATGGCTGTTTAAGAACTTTGCCCATTTCTTAACTGGGTTGTTTGTTGTGTTGTTGTTAAGTTTCTTGAGCTCTTTATATATTCTGGATATTAATCCTTTATCAGTTGCATGGTTTGCAAATAATTTCCCCCATTCTGTTGGTTGCCTCTTCACTTTCCTGAGTGTTCTGTTGCAGTGCAGAAGCTTCTCAAATGCATGTAATCCTATCTGTCAAGTAGATTCCCTTCTACATCAGAAAGCCTCTCTGAACACTGGTAGAGAAGTGATCAGTATATCTTCAAACTTAACGTTGAAAAATATATATTTAATCCTGTCCACATTTGAGACCTATTTATATCTTAGACAAGTGAGTGGCTTGTGTGTAAATATTTATCTGATAAAGACATTAATATTTCCCCTTTCCAAATGAAGACAAGAATACCATTATTAAGACCATGGGAACATCTTTCTAGCCACTCCACAGATAACTAGTTTCCTTCCCTCACCCTTATTCCACTGATGGCCTTTCTGGTAATTTTACTAAGACCAGTATCTTTTACCTGTACTAGAAGATCTTGATGATGCATGAGAAGCAATTCTTTGCAGAGCTGCATTCCAAAGAATATCTTGAGGGGCCAACGCTGTGGCATAGTGGGTTATGCTGTCGCCTGCAGTGCCGGCATCCTGTATGGGCACCAGTTCAAGTCCTGACTGCTCCACTTCCAATCCAGCTTTCTGCTATAGCTTGGGAAAGCAGTAGAAGATGGCCCAAGTCCTTGGGCCCCTGGACCCACGTGGAAGACCCGGGGAAAGCTCCTGGCTTCAGATTAGACTAGCTCCAGCTGTTGTAGCGAATTGGGGAGTGAGCCAGTGGATGGAAGACCTCTCTCTATGCCTCTCCTTCTCTCTCTGTGTAACTCTCTGACTTTCAAATAAATAAATAAATCTTAAGAAAAGAAAAAAAAATTCATAGAACTGAAGAGAGAGTAAGAAAGAGAGAAAAGAGAGCTCCAATCCACTGGTTAACTACTCTAGGCACACAGCAATTTGGGCTGAACTGGGTTTGAAGCTGAGTTGGAATGTGATCCAGATCTCCCATGTGAGTGTTAGTAGCCTCATTTCTTGAGCCATCACTGTTCCCTCCCAGGGTCTGCATTAGGAAGATGCTGGAGCTGGGAGTTGAACCCAGGTACTTTGAAGTAAGACACAGGTGTTTTAACTTTTAGGCTAAATGTTGGCTCGCTCTCTCCTCTCTCCTCTCTCTCTCTCTCTCCCTCCCTCAGATTTATTTATCTGAAAGGTAGAGTTACAGAGAGGTAGTGGGAAAGATAGAGAGAAAGATAGAGAGAGAGAAAGAGAGAGAGAGAGACTTCCATAGGCTAGTTCATTCTCCAAATGGCCACACAATGGCTGGAGCTGGTCCAATCCAAAGTCAGAAGCCTGGAGCTTCTTTGGATCTCCCACATGGGTATAGGGACTCAAGGAGTTGGGTCATCTTCCATTGCTTTCCTAGGTATATTAGCAGGGAGCAGGATTGGAAGTGGAGCAGCTGGGACCTGCAGATGATGGCTTTACCCACTACACTTCCACAGTACCAGCCCCAGTGCTGGCTCTCTTATCATCAATTTTGGAGACTTTGCATCTAAGGGACATATAGGAACAAGGACAAATGCTTTGTAGGTTTGGGAACCAGGGAACCTACCCATAGTCCATTATGCACACATTTGTCAGCAAGACAGAGGGGAGTGGTTAAGTCACCTACCAGAGCTGTGTGTCTCAGACTTAGCAGACAATGTTTACTTGCAACACAAGCCAGAGAAAGAGGAGCACAGAGGCAAGCCTATGTCTGACTAATGTTTTCAATCCACTCCAGAGTGTCATATTACATTGAATGATGAATGTAAGCTTTTCCATTGTCTTATTAAATATTAACATAACAATAGTAATGGACTTTCATAGCAGATATTTTCTAAGATGTTGTGGGCAGATCTGATACGTCTAGCCATCCTACTAGGGAGTGGGAATTGTAAATAGGATTATATTTTCTGGCAGTAAACAGAAAGTGCCTATCTCTGGTGCAGCCGAGCTGTGTTTCACACCACTACATATTACTTCTTGTAAAGGACAGGGGAATCATACATTTCAGAAATTGGGTCACATTTTTGGAGCCCCCTTCCCCATTTAGAGCAAGAGGCATTCTCAATACCTTTACTTTCTCTGCCTCTTTTCTTTCTTTCTCTCTTATATTTCCCTTGCTTTATGATGATGTTCTTTGTGGAGTTAATGCTAGTTATGTGAAAAAGATTTTAATCCATGGCCTGTATAATCATGTAAAAGTATGTGTGACACTTCAGTAACTGAATTTTAATCAGTAATGGCAAGACTTGAAATAAAGTGAGAAGAAAATGAAAGGGCATGAAGAGGGACCAGATTCTAGTTGTTGGACTGGAAAGATAGAGACTTATGTTTTTTTTCCACATTGGACACATGGCTCTGTCCATTGTTCATATATTTGGTGCTCTGTGTGGCAGTTATTAGGGGGTTGAAGTCTATATAATTAAGCACTGGAGATGGTAGATATTTATATGCATTTTAACAAAATTTAAAATGTCTTAGCTAACATGAACAAAAGTATCTTACTAATGTGATATTGATTGGTGACTTTTGATATATGTTTCAGGTCAGGTGAACTTTTTGAAGTCTCCTAAGAAAAGGAAAGGTAGGTATAGGATAAATCTATGTATTAAGATACAAATAATTTTTAAAAATATGAGCAATTTTTCAAATTCTAACATGCTATTGCTTTGTGACAGTTTTTTACTTCTGCGCTTAGTTTTGCAATCCTTAAAATGGAGTGAACATTATCGTTTTTATAAAGTTGCTTTGCAGGTTGAATAAAGCAATGCTTTGTAAACTGCTTAGAGTGACTGGCAATCAGCACTTAGCTGCAGTCTTTTTTTAATATATTTCATAAAGATAATTTAGACTCTAAGAAGATTATAGAGGATTTTCTCATGAGTAATTGAGATATAAAACTCATAAAATATTTCCAAGAATAATGAAAGTTTTGATCAGAAACAGAATATTACCGATTGGGCTGTGTGATAATTATTACATTTCATTCCTAAAATGATATGTTAAGGAAAATACAGTAAATACTATGCTGACATTGAGCCAATTGGGCAAGTAGAAATTATAGTCATTGTATTTGAAACTTATGGAAAAGAGCAAAACTTCTGGATCATATGCAGAAAGTGGCATATTCTGGTAATACGTAGCTAACACTCCTTGTTTGCACCGCACACACACAGACACAGGCTTATTGCCAAGAAGAGAGAATAATGAAACTCAAGAAGTCACAGATGTACAACCACCATAAGAATCCTGCTGGGCTGGAAACACATGAGGCATCACCTTCTGGCTCCTGGAGCTTCAAAGGAGGATGTTTTTCATCTTGGAACAGGGACCAATCATTTACTACTCTGGCCCTGCAGGGTCTCCCTGTCAATGTCACTGTCTGTTAATTTCCTTGTGTGTCCCATATTGTTTGTTTTTCTATCCCTCACCCACTCTCTTCATTTTTTACTTTACTTTTTTTTTTTTTTTTTTTGACAGGAAGAGTTAGACAGTGAGAGAGAGAGAGACAGAGAGAAAGATCTTCCTTCCGTTGGTTCACCCCGCAAAGGGTCACTACGGCCAGAGCGCTGCACCGATCCAAAGCCAGGAGCCAGGTGCTTCCACCTGGTCTCCAATGCGGGTATAGGGCCCAAGCACTTGGGCCATCCTCCACTGCCTTCCTGGGCCACAGCAGAGAGCTGGACTGGAAGAGGAGCAACTGGGACAGAATCCGGCGCCCCGACCGGGACTAGAACCTGGTGTGCCGGTGCCGCAGGCAGAGGATTAGCCTAGTGAGCCATGGTGCCGGTCTCTTCATTTTTTTCTGACAAATGCTTTTTGTTCTTTTTATTATTGGAGGGGTATTTTTTTTTAAATGACAGAGATTAAGTTATAGGAGGCAATGAGTTCAACTCAATGAAGATTCCTAAATGCCTATGTTAAGGCATAGACAAGTTGATGATTAAGGAATACTACTTCCCTAAAGACCACTCCTGGGCCTTCACACTGAGAGCGCCTGAAAATGAATAGGCTGATCTAGGATGAGCTGTGTGGCTGGACCAAATTGGTGGGACAGCCAACATGGTCTTGAAAAGTATGCCATAGAATGAAGAAAAAGGACACAACCAGTGGTAAAAATATTTCCTCAGTTGGAAGTCTACTAGAATTTACTCATCAATTATATTGCATTTTATAACTTGCAACAAACAAGACTCCAAATGCTATCAATCAGGATTGCATTGGAAAGGAAGAATGCTATCAGTCAAGGGCTAAATCTGGCAACTGAAAATTTTCTGAAGATGTCTGTAGGGATATAGTTTTGGACTAATAAACAAATGTCTTTATTCTCTCTTTTTTAAAAATAGAAACAAATGTCTTTATTCTCAAATATACATAAAGCTAGTTGCCTGTCTGCTGAATCTGTAAGTATAAAATCTCTTCCTCAGGGTGGGTATTTTGGCACAATGATTTGAACCACCAGTTGGAATGCTCATAGCAGAATGCCATTTGTAGCCCCCAGATAACCCTGTTGTGATGCAGCTTCCTGCTAATGCATCCTGGCAGGCAGCCAGTGATGGTTCAAGTGCTTATGCCCTTTCCACCAACGTGGGAGAGACCCAGTTAGGGTTCCTGGCTCCTGAATTCTACCTGGTTTAACCCTAGCTGTTGCAGGCATTTTGAGAGTGAAGCAGAGAATGAAAGATCTCTCTCCTTTCTCTCTCCCTCTCTCTCCCTTCCCTTACCCTACCTTCCTCCCTCCTTCACTTTCTTTCTCTCTCCTTTTCTTTGTCACTCTGCCTTGAAAGTAGATGATGTTAGCAAAACTCTTTTTTTAAGTCTTGATTATTACTATATTTCCAGTTGTGAAAATATTACTTTGCCAGCTTCACATCTGAGTTAAGTGTATGTATGTGTGGTGCTCACTTGTAACTTCACTAGGAAGAAAATTCCATGAAGTGGGAAGAATGTCTGTTGAGTGACTGATGAGGGACAAGAAAGAAGCTCCTTAACTCGAGTAGAAAGTCTGTCTCCTACTTTTCTCTTCAAGACTTCCAACTAATTTTGTATTATTTTGTATACAGATTAGAAATTCAGATCTGATAAGAATAGTGGGCTTGTGGATTCTGGAATCCTAGTACTTCTTAATAATCATAAAATGGAAATAATAATAATCAAAGGGAAATAATTACTGATTAATAAAAGGACAAAGGTAATGCTGATTTTTTTTTGAGATAGCATGGAATACAACAGAATCCAGTAACCCCCAGAGACCTATTGTGTCAAGAAGGCCTTGAAGCCCATTGCTTTATCTGTTTTTTGAGGTGTGGTGCATCTGCAACCAACATTCCATACACAGAAGACACAGCAGTCTTTCAGGACATGTCTATTGAGGCATAGAACTTAAAAAAAAGAGACACAGCCCTACCTAGTATTTGAACAATGCAACTTTACAGATACCTAGATCACAAAGAAAGTGACCCTGCAGCAGTGGCTGGCTGAGACACTCAATACAACTCAGAACAGAAAAAATCATTAGTGATGGTACTGGAACTGGCATTTTTAAATACCTTATGGGTATAATAAAGTAAAGATGTCTGAATTTGGAAATTTTGCAGTCAAATTTTAGAGAAATGTAAGGCAAACCAAATGGATATAGGATTATAAACAATCATCCTAATATTAGTCATATACAGAAGTATGTTCTTACAGGCAAATATCTAAGTGTTCTTTTATTTCCTGAGTTAAACCAAAATAGTGACTGATGCAGAGGCCACATCAGTAAAGAGGGTTGCTGTGGACTGCCTCATTTAGAACAAAAGCAGCGATGCGGTGTAAGTGGCAGCAGTACCAAAAGGGGGTGCCTGCTGAAGGAAGATTGAATCTGGGCTTCGAGGGGGAGCAAATTTGTGTCACAGAATACAAGTATTTCGTGACACCCTTTCATGCTGACATACTGAATTCTGGCACCTTCACCTGATGACAGAGAAAGTTTGCAATCTTATACAGAAAGCCTAAAATAATTCTGGTCAGACTTCTTTCCAGGACTTAGTCCTGGTCACATTAGCTCTTCTGCTACAACTGTGCATTCCCTTTTCTTGCTGACACTCACGTGAAACCTCTATGGGGAGGGCACGTTTCCAAAGAACTGCTTCGATGCCCTATATGAGTCCGAAAGGGAGTGACATGGTTTGTGCTTCCCGCCTTTGCTGTGAGGAAAGAGCAGCAGATCACCCACAAATTTAAGTGAATGTGCTTCTAAGGGAATGCTCTGCACAGATGAAGGATTCCTGAAGGAGACCTCCGTGTGGTGTGGCAAGAGTGTTAGTGTTTTAGGGTCTATTGGATACTTGGAAGAAGGTAATTAACCCAGGAATACCTCTTTCTTTTTGTTTGTTTAATTTGTATTTATTTAATTTATTTGAAAGGCAATAAGACACATTTACACGTACATACACAGAGGGAAAGATAAAGAACTATCTCCTATCAACTGGTTCACTCCTCAAATGCTTACAAGATCCAAGTTGGGCCAGGCCAAAGCCAGGAGATGGGAGCTCAATCCAGGTGTCCCATGGAGGTGTCATGGACATGGCTCATGTACTTGAGCCATCATCCCCTACCTTCCAGTGTGTACATTAGATGGAAGCTGGAGTGCAGAGTACAGCCGGAACGCAAACCCAAGTACTCTGATACGCTATTCGCACGTTGTCAAGAGGAGGCCCAACTTCTGCACTAAATGGACACTACCGTCCCCACTTCCCACTGCTCCCACAAGGTTCCTTCTGAGTGAATTGTTCTATCAACAGAGAATGAAGCTGTAGCAGAGTGAAAAACGTTAAACTAGAACCAGTGGGCTCTTAAGAGAGAACTTTGCCGTGGAGGGGTCTCTAGTGAAGTCCCTCAGGGAACTGTTAGTCCCTTAGGAACCTGTTCCTAAGCTACATTTGCAAAAAATGGGAGTGTTGACTTAACAGTAAATATTTAAAGAGAGGATGGGTAGCAGCCAAAAGGGGGTTCTGAAAGTAAACTGAGATCTAATGTAATATACACCCTCATTACTCCAGCCTCTTTCACAGAAGGCTGAAGTGAAAGAGACAAATTTTAAATATTATAGAAGAGTGAAGATGTATGCAGCTCTAAAAATCTTGGTACTTAAAAGTGGCTGGAATTAAAGGAATATGTCTAATATGCAGCTGCGTTAATAGCAGGCTTTGAACAAACAGAAGCTAACGTGATGAAATGAGTGAAGATTTTATTATGGGAAGCACCTGTGAGAGAAAATGCAGAAGCCTGGAAGGGTGTCAAATGACAATGCAGAAGTGACTCCTGATGAAGACTGGGTGGCAGTGTCATAGTCAGTTAGGAAGCCTGGGCAAGGCTCAGCAAGGTACTCGGGAAGCCCTCTAGCCAAGTTGATTACCATGAGTACCCTGTCTCCCAGGAAAGGACTTGCTTTAATATCCCTGCTGCCCTCAGTCATTGGCTTGAACAGCCTGTGGGAAGCCTGGCCTCAGAATAAACATGATAGAATAATGGATTTCAAAGCACAGCATCTGCTGCTTGTGGTCTATTATCTTCTCTGTACTTCAAAATCTGCAAGAGATGTTCTCACAGCCACTTCAGTTGTTAAAAGGAAGTGAAGAAGGGTTTCACACAGCAGGGGTGATGGAAGTGTTGGAAAAAATAAAAGCTTGAACTCCACTAAGTTCACACTAATCAATAAGTGGTTACACCAGACTGAGGTTAATAGACAGTTTGTGAGAATAGCAGAAGCAAATGGCTCAGATTCTAGGATTTGGCTGATGGGTTTGTACCAGCCT